CGGGAAATATTCGATCATTTTCGAAATGTGTTTGTGAATATCATCCAATGCCCCACTTACGAAACGGACTTTGTTATAACAAGTGGACTGAATTTTGGACGAGTGGACCGAGTGCCGGACTGAATTTTCGTTTCTGTTGGGGTTAGAACATATGGAGAGTCATCGATCGGGAAGACGGTATGTTGTCGAGTTTTCGCGACCTCTTTCAATCGAAAATGAATTTGAAACGTTTTGAAATGGTACAGGAATGGATGAAAAGACCTTTATTCTTTATTGACATTTATTTTACAATAATTTATTACCATTGTTTTACAGCAGTACGCATAAGAAGAGATGATTACAAGCATTCTTTTGAAAAGGTTTGCAATATGGTTCACGACAATTGCCTTCTTCTGGATCCATCTAATGATTCGCTATTGGGTGATCTGTAAATATAAAGCATTTATATGAGCAGTAACAGGAGTATTTGTAGCAAGAATGCAACAGTTCTATTCAATTGATTGTTCGAAAAAAATAAAATAAAAAGACAAGATCACTTGGATGAACATCGACTAAAGCCCTTGTATAGGCTATGGCACAACCACTAAAAAATAAAACAGTCGACAATTACCACCCACTACAGTTGATTGAATAAGGCGCTCAAAACTTGTCATTGAACCCATGCTCCATTCATTCCTGCTTTGATTTCCTGTCCGGCCCCGCGTTTAGATAGACAACAAAGGTTGGAAACACGTGAACAGGGATCTACTGCTGTCAAGCATGTCATCAAGGGAAGCATCAAGGAGTGCTGCAACTCTTTGTTAAGTATCGCTACTAAGTAATGGAAAATAACCACAGGAGCCTTGCGAGGATACCGCCCAGCTTCTTCGACACTTGTTCATGTATGGTCATTGCTTGAAAAGCACTTTAGGTGACCTAACGGTAAGTCCACTCGATTCCTCAGTTAAGGGTAGTGCCTGAGAGCAGGGCAAACTATTGCGGTACATCGCTTTACTAACAATAAGTACTGTCTGTTCACGGACCAATTTGATTCCCGAATATAGCTCATTCAATACCTATTCTTAGGTAAGTATAGATCTTTACCTTTCTTCAGCTTGCTTTACTGCCTGGTCCAACTTCTCGAAAATTCGTTCTCTTTCGACAGTTTCATAGAAGTCGGTAACTTCGAACAACTTTCTCAGGTCTCCTTAAATCATATTTTATGAGTTTAACATGATACAGAATTGTAAAATTGTTAAGTGGGAATGTTTGATGTAATACTCAGACTAGCACCAGCGCTTAACTAAAGCTTCTATAGAGTTCAACAAAAAAGAGCCTGCAAAAACCGACGCTTCCTCCAAAAAAAAAAATGCAGGCCGCCGAGAATTTGATGAGCTACGAAAGAAATTTCCATCATGACTCTCTTACAAAATAATTTCTGTTCTGCTCTATGCCGCATTTTCTTATGAACGTAGCTTCATTTATAGAGCTAAGACATGCTCTTGATTTTAAAAGTACCTTTTTGTACTACCAAGTAAGTTTGAATATTAGCTGCGATGAGATCGGCCACGACCTAAAATTGTAAATTTTGCCGAGCTCTATTTAACTCTAACAAGAAACTAAATGGGATTTTCAATACCGTACAAACCGTTTTCAACGTCGTCAGGCCAAGATAGTCCACGTAAGGGAATCCACTGCAATCAATGACCAGTCGACATCGGTCTTCATTTGCTATACCTTTATAAGCTGCTCTTGCCTTCTGAAACTCTCAGATTTTTTCTTTATAATATTCCCCTTCGTACTCATCTCGGTGAAGGACTCGTTGCACCGGCTCTCCAGATCGGTAAAATGCAAAAGCACAGCAGCAGCAATGACTGTGTTAATGTGTTACAACGAAAGAAAAGAATTAATAAAGTTCCGCAGTAACTGGGTTGGGTTGTAACATAAGTTCGTAGAGTTTTGCGTTAGAGTTATTTTGCAACGTTTTGTTTTGTTATTCAGCAAAGTGTATACATTCATTCGAAAGAGCTTTTTCTCCTCTACAAAACTGATTTTTCTGTTTTTTTGGAGAGTTTAATTGTTCGTCTTTTTTCTGGCTCAGAAAT